ACAAGAACTAGTGTTTCAACGCGATATTGTCATGAAAATATTTGTAGAAAAGTCAGTTGGAATCTTCGTTACGTCCGTGAGAAATGGCTGAAGTCTCGATGTCGTGTCAGGATCAATTACATTGCAGATCCTTGTCTGGATTTTGTCAAGAATGTCTAAATATAAAGCTGCAGCAACAGACCAGAAAGAAAAGTTAGTGGTCGTTGCATAATAAGTTTTGGTGCCTGTTGAAATTGATAGTCACGCTAGGAAGCTTGATGTGTCTAGAATTCTAAGCGATTTTAATTGTCCCCCCCGCCATACTTGACTTATATAGTGGAAGAACTTGCTCCCTAGAGCAGAACATCCATTGTCTTCTCCCTACACCTGTTGTTCGCTTCTCACGGGTATATATACTTGAAATATATCAGCTTGAATCAGTGAAAACATTGATATATCGATTTTTGTGTCATAATAACATGTCCCCACTCGATTCGACTTTTGATGTATTTAGACCCTCCCCGCAGTATTTCAGAGACCTCAAATTGAATCTTTCTTTGTTCACGTCGGTTTGCATTAAAAACTGGGAAAGTCCTGCTGCACGTTCACCATAGAAAAACATTTTACTTCCCACCAGCGTAGCTGATGCTAACCTCCAAGAGTGCAACTCATTGCACCTTCTTAGTCTCACGTTTTTCAGGGACATAAAGTCAAGTGATTATATTAAATAAATTGCTAGGCCTGCTTGCTAGGAAAGTTTATTCACTGTATCGTGTTAGACAATCTTTCTCCCCAGAAGCCATCTTGCACATGTAGAAAATCAACCATTCGTCTGTGCATTGAATATTGCTGCCACATCTGGTCTGGTGCTTTTGCTATATATTTAGAGATTCTTGATAAAATCCAAAGAAGAATCTATCTTCCATATTTATAAGTCTACCATTCATCCTTGCTTTGAATTTTGCTACCACATCTGGTCTGGTGCTTTTGCTATATATTTAGAGATTCTTGATAAAATCCAAAGAAGAATCTATCTTCTATATTTATAAGTCTACCATTCCTACTTGCTTTGAATATTGCTACCTCATCTGGTCTGGTGCTTCTGCTATATATTTAGAGATTCTTGATAAAATCCAAAGAAGAGTCTATCTTACATATTTATAAGTCTACCATTCATCCTTGTTTTGAATATTGCTGCCACATCTGGTCTGGTGCTTCTGCTATATATTTAGAGATTCTTGATAAAATCCAAAGAAGAATCTATCTTCCATATTTATAAGTCTACCATTCATCCTTGCTTTGAATATTGCTGCCACATCTGGTCTGGTGCTTCTGCTATATATTTAGAGATTCTTGATAAAATCCAAAGAAGAATCTATCTTATATATTTATAAGTCTACCATTCATCCTTGCTTTGAATATTGCTGCCACATCTGGTCTGGTTCTTCTGCTATATATTTAGAGATTCTTGATAAAATCCAAAGAAGAATCTATCTTATATATTTATAAGTCTATCATTCATCCTTGCTTTGAATATTGCTGCCACATCTGGTCTGGTGCTCATGCTATATATTTAGAGATTCTTGATAAAATCCAAAGAAGAATCTATCTTCCATATTTATAAGTCTACCATTCATTCTTGCTTTGAATATTGCTGTCACATCTGGTCTTCTGCTCATGCTATATATTTAGAGATTCTTGATAAAATCAAAAGAAATGTCTGCAATTTTATAGGTCCTGACCTGGCACTTTCCATTGCCGTGACATGGCTCCCCTCTGTCTTTTCTATAAATATTTTCATGGCAGTTGTTTTAATGAGCGTTTCTTCTTGCTGTCTCGACTACATGAACTTAATTGTACTACTCGATTGGCAATTAGGTCACATCGTTTTATTGTTGAAAAGGTTGAATGTAACCGTAAGTTCTATTCTAATAGTTTCTTTTCTCGCACTTCGCGTCCGTGGAACCCTCTACCAGTTTCTTGCTTCCTTGCCACCTACAGTCATCAAAAATGTAAATGCAACGCCAATCTCCATTTTCTGTCTTCGTGAAACCTGTTCTTTTATTGTTCTTTTCTCCTCGCTAAAGTCCTAGCGGCATTTTCGTCTTGCTTCGTTGGTGGTACGATTAAAAAGAAAATGAAAATAAATAACACATCGAGAAATAAATAATTCGAACCCTGTTTCCAATACATAAAATTTATTTTATTCGGGTGTTCGCTATTTTGGTCTGGGTGGGTAGATAGTTGTCCACCGCCTTAACCAGATATTAGTTAGATCCAGTGACAGGTACCCAAAGAGTGTAAGTTCTTGGAGAGGGAAATTAACGGGAGATAACTGACATCCATTAAACATGGCACGTGGAACTAGAACAGTCTACCCTAGTGAGCGAAATAAAGGGTTCAGTTCGACATTCCAACTACCTGAAGAAGGCCGCAGCGTACAACGGCCGAAACATTGTGATAAATATGGCGACAAAGATGAGGACAATCGTCCGAATAATGTAAATAGGGTACATAATACTCAGATAGATAGATAGATAGATAGATAGATAGATAGATAGATAGAAAATGAAAAGGCTGTGTGATAGATAGATAGATAGATAGATAGATAGAAAATGAAAAGGCTGTGTGATAGATAGATAGATAGATAGATAGATAGATAGATAGATAGATAGAAAATAAAAAGGCTGTGTGATAGATAGATAGATAGATAGATAGATAGATAGATAGATAGAAAATGAAAAGGCTGTGTGATAGATAGATAGATAGATAGATAGATAGATAGATAGATAGATAGATAGATAGAAAATGAAAAGGCTGTGATGATAGATAGATAGATAGATAGATAGAGATAGATAGAAGATAGAAAATGAAAAGGCTAATAGATAGATAGATAGATAGATAGATAGATAGATAGATAGATAGATAGATAGAAAATGAAAAGGGTGTGATAAGATAGATAGATAGATAAATAGATAGCCTAAAATGAGAATTGGAAAAAAGTCACCCAATATTTAATATAGTGATATTTATTTCTAATATCTGAATTTTTTACGGAGATGAATGAAATCTTTGTTACTTACAATTGGATTTTCAGTGTTTGTTTCTTAGAAAAATAATTTGTGGCTTTCCTTTTTTAACTTTTTTACCCTGTTTCACTGAACTTTTCAAAAAGTTTTAACTTTTTCTCGCTCCATGTGTTGATGCTTATGATTTATACCAATGAAAAAACTTCAAAATCTAGGGACTTAACTGGCTGTATATATCGTTTATGATAAGGGGAATTTGGTAGAATCTATTTATGCAATGAATTAAGTATAGGTTTGAAATTATTGATGAAAAATATTTCTTATTTTTATATATATATATATATATATATATATATATATATATGTATATATACATACTGGCATCTCGTCTGCAGTCGCTCTCTCACAGACGTGCCGTTGCCTCCCTCTGTCTTTTTTACAAATACTTTCACGGTAACTGCTCCGATGAGCTACTTTTGCTGGTTCCCAGACTTCATGAATTCAAGCGCCCTACTAGGCTGGCATCTCGCTCTCACCCTTTCACTGTTGAAACTGGTAAATGTAGCCGTCTCTTCTACTTCAATAGCTTCATGTCTCGCACTTCTCCCCTGTGGAACCCCCTCCCCTTTTTCTGTTTCACTGATAGCTATAATCTCCAACTATTCAAATGTAATGTCAATCGACGTCTCCAGATGCCTTCATCTATCCCCTATCCTTCTCTTCATCCTTTCCTCTATCACTCCTCTTTGTTCTCGCTCCAATTCTGTAACCCTTTGCATGCTAGTGACTTCTCGCTCCAATTCTGTAACCCTTTGCATGCTAGTGACTTCTCTCCCTTGGGGTGAAAAAGCTTAATATATATATATATATATATATATATATATATATATATATATATAAATGACAATAGGAAAATTGTAGTAGTTCATGACGCTTTTCGTCCAATGTGGACTTTCTCAAAGCAAAAAATTTTATATATTTATAAATATTGTCTTTTCTACAGGTTAACTCTGAGAATTTCTCATATATATATATATATATATATATGTGTGTGTGTGTGTGTGTGTCTGTGTGTGTGTGTGTGTGTGTGTGTTAAATGATATACTTCTTCCTAAGATAATAATGTAATTAAAAATATATTCCTTTTTAGATTTTTCTTATTATTTTTCTGATATATTGTTTATTTTAATATATCTTTCATTCTGAATTATCTTTCATATAAATAGATTTATCTGTTTATTTAACATAATATTATTTTTGTTTATGTATTTAATAAGGTTTTCTTTAAGTCTAAACTACCTTCTGATTGCTACATTGTTTAAAATAAATCGGTCATTTCTTCTCTTTTTTCTCTCTCCCCTCTTTTTTCCCTTCTTTTCTCCTCTGACCACCCCTCATATCCAGACTTACACTACTTCCTTGTTTTTATTTGCTCTCTTTTTTTACTTTTTTCTTCCCTTCTTTCTTCCTCTGTCTGGCAATTTTTTAAAATAATTTATCATCTATTGACTGGTTTGAAAAATCCTTGTAAATTTTATTTCAATTAACAAGGTGAAAATTAATTAACCGAATTAATCGTAATTCCTATTGTATAAAATATGTTGCTCTGTTTAATTGAAACATTGAGCTCTATGAGTGAATCAGTTTTAATATGTAATATTTTATATTGTATTAATAAGATTCACTTGGTTTATATACCAACGGATTATTACCTATATATATATATATATATATATATATATATATATATATATATATGCGTGTGTGTGTGTGTGTGTGTGTGTGTTGTAGAGTAGTTTTCACAGTGGAGGCCTGTATTTCGCTAAGCTGGTCCTAAAAGGGTCTGACGTACAAAACGTTAGGAACTTGAAATAAGAGTTAATGACGCAGCAATCTAGTTGTGATGGTTGATACTTCCATGTCCGACATCGACTGACTCCACTGAGCTCAACTGGCCACTGCTACTACTACTTATTATCTGTGGGAGAGTCTATTACAATAGAATAGGTAATGTTCTGGTATAACAATATAAAAGTGAACATAGAAGTCAACACTTAGAGGCGACAGTCTGTTTAATGCCAGATGCAATAGTCAGGCCTGTTCACTTTTATATTTACACACGCTCTATCTCTGATATTGAGCACTTTATCTCATAAATATAGCACATCTTAAGACTATATTTCTTCATATATATAGAAGGGCTTTCCCCTCGTTCTGTAAGGATGTCTCGCCTGTCCATCAACAAAGTTTAGTTATATATCAATATAAATGTCGATTCGAGATCGACTATGTGAGCAATACTATACAGAGGTTAGAGGTTAGGTTCGACCTGCATGTGAAAGCTTTTAGGCGCGTAGACACGAGCCTGTGACATCCGGATGTTCACGGCCTTATGACTTCGCTATCGGCGAGCAATTATTGAATTCTGTTGCTTGCAAGATGAACTATTCTCCGAAGTTCTTTTCTGTCTTTCACAAGGCAAGGATCAGTCTCCACTTAGACATCTTAGAGTCTGTTATTATTAATATGCAACGTCCTGCCTTGTGCAGACAACGGGAGCAAAAGCCTAAGGTGGCCTTATTCGGGGAATCAGTCGCCTAACTGGGAAGAAAATATTTCCCCTTTCCCTCCCCAAGTTTTGGTAAGCTATATCTTCTTAGTAGTCGATAATAATTTTTCTTGTCAACTACTTTGTTTTATTTTGCAGACAATTATATATTTCTGATGAAGTCTCGGTCGAAAGGATCCTTAAATTGGAAACGCTGTGATACGTTTGTATCCTATTTCACGAATAAATTATAATCCCTTTCCTTAAGATTATAAGAGGCCCGTTGGTATGACGTTTGTCTCGTTTCGTAACGGTCCGGGTTTCAATACTCGGTAGTGGATGCGCACAGCAGATGAGTCGCAAATATAGGACGACCGGCCGTCCATTGCTTTCTGCATTCAGTTGAGTTTTCTTCTAGAAACTCGATGAATTACTTAATTATGATATATATATATATATATATATATATATATATATATATATATATATATATATTATGAAATGGACAAAGTCCGACAATTATTTTAAGACATGTTTATGTTTATACATTTTTTATATAGATACAAATATTTAAGTAAATGCTCTGTTTATAATAAACGGTATTAAACAACATTTACTAGCCTGAATGTCCGAGAAATTTTCACTAAAAATATTCGTCCTCCGACAGGATTCGAACCTGTATCCTATACGGAACCGTTATTTGGTTTCTATTATATTTTACCGACAAAAACAGAGGAGCGTTCGGTTGGCAGGGTCGATTTTACTGCTTTTAAACTACAATCTTCTATGAATCTCTCACGTACATTCATATCTGCTCATGGCGTATCAAATGTAAAAATGACATCACACATTATGAAATGGACAAAGTCCGACAATTATTTTAAGACATGTTTATGTTTATACATTCTTTTTATAGATACAAATATTTAAGTAAATGCTCTGTTTATAATAAACAGTATTAAACAACATTTACCGGTCGAAAGTCCGAGAAATTCTCACAGAAAATATTCCTCCCAATATTATATATATATATATATATATATATATATATATATATTGTCATCCACAGATATAATATTTCGCTGTATCACAGCTCATCAGTGTGACTAGACATCCGATTGCTTCAAGCATCAATCGGAGATGTTTCCCCTAAGCTATCAACTCCTGGCAGAGAGGAATGTGAATTTTTATGTATTTATTTTTGAATAAACACGCCAGTAACTCAGAGTGCTCGATTCATAGAAGAACTTTTGCATTATCAGCAGTAGCACTCACTGTTTACAAATTCGCGCTTTCCCTCTAAAGTGCTCGACCACATTTTATCTTTTCGGGGGCGTATATATATATATATATATATATATATATATATTATTCAGTGAAACATATATATATATATTTATATATATATATGTTTCACTGAATAATATAGACATATTATGTCTATTTTATAATGATCCTTTCCAGTTTTCTAATCAGTTTCTTGATGTTAAAAATGAAATTTATCCAGGAAGTCTTTTTCTTAAGCGTAGTAATAACCAACAATAAAGTAATCAATAATAAATTTGAAAAAGTTAACTAACTAAACCATATATAGCCTAAAAGCTGCATCTGGATCCACAATTATTTCCACCTAACAGCCCCTTGAATAATTCGAAACATAACCGTTAAAGCCCACCAAAACAACCGTTAGAATAATACAACAGACTACCCATAATGCTATATAATAGAATACCCAGAATGCATCACTGTCCTGTATATATAAATAGTTGAGCAAAATCACAACGCACATGGCTAAATTGATTCGTCTAGCATGATTAGACTGTTAAATTGAATATAAATGTTGAATTCAATGTCGGCTTTTCTTATATATATGTGTGTGTGTCTGTGGGTCTGTGTATTTATATAGCAATCCTTCTCTCATCTCATACTCGTTAAAGTCTGAATACGACAGACAAATAAATAAATAAACGCACCTTGTCTGTCGTATTCAATGATAAATTTATTATATATATATATATATATATATATATATATATATATATATATATAATAATGAAATGGACAAAGACCGACAATTAATTTAAGACATTTTTATGTTTATACATAAAAGATTGAAGATTGTAGTTTAAAAGACAGTAAAATCGAACTTGCGAACCGAACGCTCCTCTGTTGCCCAATCGATTAAAGGCACGTCAGGCTATAGGGCGGTTCCGGAGGACAAATATTTTCTATGAAAATTTCTCGGGCATTCAGGCCGGTAAATTTTGTTTAATACTGTTTATTATAAACAGAGCATTTACTTAAATATTTGTATCTATAAAAAAAGAATGTATAAACATAAAAATGTCTTAAATATATATATATATATTTGGTCTTTATTTTCGTTACTGTCCTTTTCGTTAATTAATGATCCAACGATTGTCTCCCGATGAGATGTTGGTTGAAAGGGCCTTAGAGGCTAATAAAATTAAAATCAATAAATTCCTAGTTTTTAAAACTATATATATATATATATAAAGAGGGGGTCGCTATGCAATATGTTGTTTTATCAATGTAGATTTGTCAGAATAGGGTGGATTTTGAATTAATTCAAATAAAAAATTCTATTTACGCCACTGGTGTAATTATATGCGTTGCAAATAGGGTGGAGACAGGCTCTTATCTAGAACCAGAATTTTATATCTGTCTATATCTCTGAGATGAGGTATTATGATTATTTGTAACACGATTACATCATGTTACAACTTGTTCAGGGTTTCATTTCTTTTATTTGATTTCGTGTTGGGGTGTAACTCTTTCTTAATGTTGATTCAAAATTGATCGACGCATTAAAAGAATTTTCTTCTCAAAGATACGATTAAATGACATCATTTGTCTTCACTGGGATCTAGGTTAAGGTCGCCAGGATTGCGATTTGGAGCAGACTACATTGGGCATATCTCTATAGCTGTAAAAACCAACATGCCTCGAAACTGAGTTACTGGAATTCAGGCTAATGCTGGGTGTCACCGCGGACGACACGTCTAATGTCTTTGTAAAACCGTCTTTTAACAATAAAAAAAAAGTTTGTTAAACATTCTTCCTTGTATCGTCTACGTCTTTCTTTGTGGCGTGGACAAATGTCGAGGATTGTTTTTCTTCTTTTCATAATAGACGTTCTTTGAATCCCTTTCAAGGCCTATAGATTAAGAATTCTGAATTTGAAAACAGGATAAGGGATGGGAACTGACTGGTGACAGATGGAGGATTTTTAAAACAGACAAGGAGTGGCACATAGGTTATTGAAAAAATCAATTTCGATATATATATATATATATATATTAAATGCCTGTAATTGATAACAGAAGCCATTGGTTTATACCAACGGCTTCCCATACTTAATACTTCTCGTTTTCACTCTCGCGTGGTCATATATATATATTAAATGCCTGTAATTGATAACAGAAGCCATTGGTTTATACCAACGGCTTTCCATACTTAATACTTCTCGTTTTCAATCTCGCGTGGTCATATATATATATTAAATGCCTTTAATTGATAAAAGAATTCATTGGTTTATACCAACGGCTTAAATACTTAATACTTGTATTTTCACTCGTTTTCGCGTGGTCATATATATATATTAAATGCCTGTAATTGATAACAGAAGCCATTGGTTTATACCAACGGCTTCCCATACTTAATACTTCTCGTTTTCACTCTCGCGTGGTCATGTGTGACGTCACGAGCAGCGACGCGATTTCGATTCCGCGTCCCGTATACACGAGTTAGTCGTTGCTTTGAAATTTTTCATACAACTGAAACAGACTATTATTATTATTTCGTCCGTGTATTGGTTAATATATTGAAAAGTAATTGTCATCTTTGATAATGGCTTATGTAAGCCGAAAGCTTAGATTGGATTTAAACATGTATCAACATGGTGATTTCCTTTCGTCTTTCAATGATAATGTTATTAAGCTTATCAGACAATATGAAAAGAAAAAAAAAACGTCTGTTATGGATGACATGAATGAGTGCAAAGGGGAAAAAAACTAAAAAACTCAAAATGTCATCCATGTCAGACATTTTTTTTTTCTTTTCCTCATAATCTTAATTCCCCATTAACTGTTCTGACGAGAGGGGACGAAACCGGTCGACTGGTGTTTGTTTTGTTTTAAACTTATCATTTTACAAGGTTATTTTGTTTTTAATGCCTTAATTTTTTTTTTGTAGGTTTCAAACCTATTTAGAATATATTATATATATATATATATATATATATATATATATATATATATATATATATATGTATGTATGTATGTATATTGACCATTAATATTATCTATATATCTATCTATCTATCTAGTATGTATATTGACCATTAATATTATCTATCTATCTATGTATCTATCTATCTAGTATTGTATATTGACCATTAATATTATCTATCTATCTATCTATATATATATATATATATATAGATAGATAGATGTCCAATTTTAATATCGATAAATATATATATTGGAATCTTTTGAGAATTTAATATTTATCAATCTATTTATTTATCTATCTATTTCAAATATCTATATATATATATATATATATATATATATATGTATGTTTGACCATTCATATTATCTATTTAAATATCAATATATATATATATATATAAATATATAGATAATCAGATAGATTTATAATATAGATAGATAAATATTTATAAACAATATTTTTTTACATATATAGGTTGTGTATTTGATCAGAATTATATATTATATATTTATATATATATATATATTTATATATATATATATATATATATATATAGGCCTACCCCTTCCGTACATTTTGGAATTCTTCTCTCTCTCTCTCTCTCTCACACACACACACACACACACACACACACACACACACACACATATACAGTCTACCCAAAAAATGAATACAGAATCCAGGAAAAGAAAAACTTGTAGAGATATTGTAATACTAAATTTATTTAAACATCACGAGATTAATACAAGGTACATTTGGACATTACAATCATAAGAGATGCTCAAAAGGGTGACCTTAACCTTCCAGGCATTTATTAGTACGGCGAGCTGCTGCTTGGATAACGCGTGAACTGTTCCAACACTATAGCTGAGGAAGCAGCACTTGTTGCTGTAACTAGGTCTGCCGGATTTTCCTTTATACACTACACACACAGTACATTGTGTTTCAAACATATTGGATGCTGTGTTCCAAACTCTTGGCTCCATTGTCTTTGGACTTCAACAACATTCTCAAATTTGAAATATTTTTTTTACGTTCCTCAAACGACAAATTACATATGTCGAGAAAATATCACACTACAATAAACAGATTTACATTATTCGGACTATTGTCCTCATCTTTGTCGCCATATTTATTACAACATTTCGTTCGTTGTACGCTCCGGCCTTCTTCAGGTGGTTGGAATGTCGAACTGAACAATTTCATTTCGCTCTCTTGTAATAAATATGGCGACAAAGACAATAGTCCGAATAATGTAAATAATGTACATAATACCTCATCACAGAAATATATGTCAATAAACTGAATTATCGCATTTTGATAAAACTACGAAACAAAAACTTTTCCCTTCTTGAAGTCTGTATAAATTTTTATATATATATATATATATATATATATATATATATATATATATATATATATATAATGTTGTCAATATAAACATAAAACGCTTGAATATATATATATATATATATATATATATATATATGGTAGGGTATATATTAAATATACAAATAAAAGCGAAAGCAGTTGAATTTATCGTGTGTGTATACGTAATACCTACATATATAACCTATAAAAAAACGAACAGTCTACTTCTACGATGAGTAGTACGCATGCGTATCTTTGTTTGAATGCGTGGGCGTATGTGTGTTCACATTCAAGTGTATTTTCTGCATTTTATTACGCGCTTTCTCAGGTTTGGCGCTCCGAGATAGAAAATGACATTATGTGCAAATGTCTTGATCAATCAAGATATATATAAGATATATATATTATGTTGTTAATATACCACATAACACGCTTGAGCGCGTAGCCTTGGAGCGGGTAGAATGGAGATCAACGTGTTTTAGTGCAGTTTTCAATCTGCTTGTCTGAATCATCTTCAAGAAGCGAGAGCAAGAACTAAAAGGTCATCCAATCTAACAGTGATCTCATCCTCACTCTTGCTCCATATGTGGCCTCCTTTGTAAATCACGAGTGGATCTTAAATGAAACTAAAGATTATCGCACAAAATTTCATAACTGAATCAACTAATTGTCAGATCCTCATACATCGAAACCAACGGAGAGTCCATTATATATATATATATATATATATATATATATATATATATATATATATTAAAAATATATATTGAGTGACTGCAAAAGAATGTACAGGTTGAATATCACTATAAAAAAGAGAGTTATTCACAGCCACTGGAGCTCTAAATGTACCGAAATGCCAGGCTACATAATGCTGATGCGTTTCGAAACGTAGATCAAACTAACTGTTCGCCTTTGTAGCCGAAGCACTTCATTATGCCTGTGAACTGGGTCACACCGCACATTAAAAGTGCCATTCACGAACGAGTTCAAAGGAGACGCTGGACGGCTCCGACAGTTAGTGATATGGGCGATGTTCCACTTTTTATGCAACACGGGCTGACATAGCTGATCAATGATGACAAGGCAAAAATTGTTCAAATGCTGCCGGATCTGAAAGCAATGTAAGTCCTTTCTAAACTCCTCAATGCGGGCAATCAAAAAAGGACGAGTAACGACGTCCTAGTCCCAAAACTACAAAAACTGCCTTGTAGCATTCAGTTTAAAGCCGAGGTGTCCAAACTAGTTTCAAAGAGGGTCAGATTTGATTGGATCATATACGTGAGAGCCTACCATTCTGCTTGGCATTCTTTAAACCATTAAAATTAAATGCAAATGAACTGTCTTATAAAAATTTTATTGAAAATGGCATATTTTCATTTGTTCACATAGATGACAAATAAATTTAAACAGGTCTTAGCAAAATTACTCATCCTGCCATATCTGAAGCCCATATAAGATGAAATAAAATATGTCCGAGATAAAAGAGCTTCCTGGAAGCTATAATATAGCTCAGGCTAATCTTAAACCTTAAAAAATGGTAATTAATGTCGTCTGTCAACTTTGAAGTTAAAACATATAAATAGGAACATAACACCAACATTCATCTTATTAAGGATTAGAAAACATAAAGTGACACAAGTTCAAATTTCCAAATATATTTATAACTAATTTTGACCAAACTAAAGACAAATTTAATTCGCTAATTTAGAATTTATTCATCTCAGATGACCAAAACAAATAACTTGCCTTCACTAATGTGAAGGAAGATACTGAGATCTGGACTGCGGTATGTAGGCTAGGTCTAGTTCAAAGGCAGTGGTCTAATTCAAAGGTAGTGATTTTAGAAATTGGCTGGTAAAAGCCAATGTCAGAGTCATACCGCTGAGGACGGCCACACACTGCTGCTGCCATCTTTTGATAAAACATAAAATTGCATTTCTTAGGTGTGTACTTTACATACTCTGATTGACAATATTGACGGGGTGTGATAGGTTTTATTATCACAGAATCCACCTGGATTGAAAGGAAAACGAACGAAGAGGCAAAAGGATTATTTGTAAAGTTTATTGGAGCGAAGATGACAAGACAGAAATTATTTAAATGAGTAACACCCGCAAAAAACTTACGGTTTTCCTATTTGAATTTTCTGATGAATCTAAATCCTTAAGTTAATGATTGAATAAATTTATGGCGAGTTGCCATATTCACAATGTTTCGGCCGTTGTACCCTCCGGCCTTCTTCAGATGATTGGCATTTCGAACCTAACCCTTTATTTTGTCCACCGGAGTAGATTGTTCTAGTTCCACGTGCCATGCCTCTTCCGCATGTCTCAGTTATTTCCCTTTAACTCAACCCTTCAAGTTTTGGTTCACCACTGCTGTGGCCTGGTATTGAACTCACAACTCTTTGAGTCTAGTCACTGGATCTAACCAACATCTTCATTCACTGGACCATGTGTCACTTTAATAAATAACATTATCATTTGGCTCAAAATATGATCTTGTGCCAGACACAGCTCAATTTAGTAAATAACATTATTTTATAGCTCAAAACATTACCTTATGGTAAACACAGCTCAGCCTAGAAAGTGGCACTCTGGGATAGCACAAAAATGACCTTGTGTCAGACACTGCTCAATTTATTAAATGGCATTATGGGATAATCCAAAAATGACCCATAGTGCCAGATACAGCTCAACTAAGTAAATAACATTATTGGATAACTAAAAAATGACCTTGTGCCAGACATAGTTCACTTTAATAAATAACTTTATCTTATAGCTCAAAACATGATCTTCTGTCAGACATCTCAATTTAGTAAATAACATTATTTTATAGTTCAAAACATGACTTTGTGCCAACCACAGCTCTGCTTAGTAAATGGCACTATGGGATAGCACAAAATATGATCTTGTGCCAGACACAGCTCAATTTAGTAAATGGTATTATGGATAGCCCAAAAATAACCTTGTGCCAGACACAGCTCACTGTAATAAATAACATTATCTTATAGCTCAAAATAAGACCTTGTGCTCGACGCAGCTCAATTTAGTAAATAAAATTATTGGTTAGCTCAAAACGTGTATTTGTTTCAAACTCAGAAAACTTAGCAATGATCCTTCTCCGACCTCAAACTAATGTGGCCTTGTGCCGTACGAAGCTTAAATTAGTAACAAGCAAATTATGTTTAATGTCATTAATTGTTTTTGTCAATCAATGTCATCGTCCCAACGTGGCGACTTTCTTTATCGTAGTTTATATATATATATATATATATATATATATATATATATATATATATATATATATATATATATATAATTTGTAAACGAGGGTGCGATTTTGCCAACAACCGGACATGCAAGTATAGGAGAACGGAAAAGTCAACTTGAAGGATTTGTTGAGTAATATTTTCGATATATAATTCTTGTTTTTCTCGTCACCGGTGTATAATACGCACTGATAATTAAGAAAAGTATAGTGAAGAAACGATTAACAATAATCAAGTTATGATTTATCCAGACATAGATCGATTTGTTTAATAAAAACAAAAAACAATATTTTAGCATTATTTTGATTGGTAATCATAATTTAATCATTTATAATCATATATATTTAATTCTGGGGACATCAGGAGACGAGCGTGTCAAACAGACTTTTTTTTTTTTTTTGAATTTTATATTCTAACATTATTTTGATCATAATATTAATAATTTTAAATCATTATTTAATCTCTCTTTTAATTATTAAGGTTGGTGCAAAAAAATAATGACATTAAGAATGTCGTTTTTGACGTTAAAAATACGTCAAAAACGACATTATTACGTCATTATTTTTGCACCAACTTAATAGATATATTAGGTTGACCAGAGTGTCCTGACTCACTTAAGAAGCGGAAAGAAAATATAAATTTTATGGAGCAACGCCAACATTTATTCTACAAAATTATTATACATTATCAACCAGCATCTGAAATTATCCCCGGATACCATTCCGATGGCTTTAAATAATAATAATAATAATAATAATAATAAAGCAAAAAAAACTGTTAACAAATTTCCTTCAACAAAAGCATTGAATCGCTTGTCGCGGACGAAGTGTACCATTGAGCGGCCATAGTTACCCGAAACAGCCTCGTGTTTGGATAGTGGATATGGAAAAATCTCAACATCGTCCATCTGTTTAAACTTCTCAGTCAACCTGGCAGTGTGTGGCCTCGTACATTTCGAACCGATCAAACTTACTATAAAGAAAGGAGTGTCATCAACATGGATAACGATTTGAGAGCTGAAGCCATCAGAGAGGTCATTGATGAACATTAGGATCAATGTAGGTCCATGGACAGAGCCCTGGAGGTCCGCCAGCATTAATGAAAAAGATCTCTTTTTTTTTTTTTAGCAATTTCCGGTTTTAGACGAAACTCACGGGTAAAGAAGGGATTCATAACAAAGACATTTGTTGTACCTCAAATTTTTTTCCTTAAGTGATATTTATGATCCGGAGTTAAGATGATGCATTCATTATTAAAACTGGTCCCCCCACCACTGAAAAAAAACGGAAATTACTTAAAACTCAGCCTAATACGTTATTCTAAGGTCATCGGGGGACTCGTGTGTCATCCAGGAGTGTTCAGCTGTCGGTCTAATATGAAGAATCCCACCATCAAAATATTAGATGCAGGTGGATTTGCGGGGTGGGGATTATTTATTAAACCACTTTATATGGACGGAAATAGGGAAACACTTTCGAAATTCGTGATTCATTGATTTGGACGAAATAATTTAATTCCTTTTAAAGATTTGATTTCTGTTGAAGATTCATTTTACGGCTTTTAATGTCGTTTAACGCTGGGACATATTTTGCTGTAGACCCGTTGCTATCCAAGGCTATAGGACCCAGTCTGTCCTGCTGTTTTACTCATAGCATTTTATTTTATTTTATTTCATTTTTTATTTATTTTATTCATTTTATTATTTTTTTTTTTTTGAGATAATAATAATAATTTTCTGAGTTTTCTGATACAAGTCTTACTATTTAACCCATAGCTGGGAGAAAAAATTTGGACATACTTTTTTTTAAAAAGCCTTTTTAAACGGACATTTAAAATTCACGCGTCTATGCTTGCAGCACCTGGTATTCTTATCTTTATTGTTTTGATCACTCGGTCGATGCGCCCTCATACGTGAATTGCATTCATTAAAAACTAGCAGCATGGCCCGGCGTTGCCCGTGCTTGATTCAAAAATTGTACGACTCATACAGCAATCGCTATCACTTGACTTAAAATATTTTTACCCTTCCTTGCCTTTAAAGGAGTGCCCTTAGCCGTGCTGATGTTGTACATGCCTTACTTCTTGCCTATCTCACACTGCCAATTTTTTCTAAGCTCTATACTAAACATTAAATCTGTTAAAAAAAAAAGAACTAAACAAAATGAACACAAAACGATCAGCTTTAAAAAGGACTCGTAACTGGAAAAACCGAATGAAAAAGAATGTTAACAACAAATACTTTTCACACCCAACCCAGTTCTGCGGAATCAGAATCAACGTTGAATTTAAACAAGCGAATGAGCCAATTGGAGTAAAGTGCCATGCAGATTTAAAAATTTTCCCACTTGTGACGAATGCAGCTATCGATTTTTTTTGCATGTTAGTTAACATTCGTGTCAGTCAGCTGTTGGCTCTCACGCTGGCCAATGGAATCTTCTTGCCTATTCATGGCAGCCAACTATAGGCTCTCATTCTGGTCAGTAGAAAATGGCCGCAAACTACATGAAAACTGCCGTAAAAGCATGAAAAAATCGATTATTTCAACTATCGATGGGAGTTGAGAAATGCAAAGTTGGTCTTGGCCTTCCCACTAACTTAGAGCATGTGCATGTAAATTTTGGTGCAAATCCGTCGAAAATTGCGGCCGTGCATTCGTTACACACACACACACACACACACACACACACACACACACCCAGCCTTTTATAGATAGAGATAAAGAAATTTAATTGCTTTTAAAAAAATTTTTGAAAATTTTGATTTCTGTTGAATATTGATTGATTTGGATTTTTACGGTTTATCAACCTTTTTATGTTATTTAAAACGCCTAAGCATATTTTGGATTGTAGGAATATAATAATAATTTTCAAGATATATGTCTTACTATTTAACCCATAGCTGGAAGGAGAAGAGGTGAAGTCATACCTTTCCCAAGGTCATTTGCACGTAAGTGAATATAACGAACCAGACTGGAATTCAAACTTGGATCTCCGAGTTCTCATTCCGTGATTTTATCCACTACACCACTCGCACATCCATATTTACAGTACCTGATATTCTTTTCTTTATTGTTTCGATCATAACCATTCGGTTGATGTATTCTTCTGCCTTCTTATTGCCACCTGATATTTCAGTAGAGAATGTAAAATATGTAATTATTATTCGTAATATCAAGATTATTCTTTGTTTCGATCACTACCATATGGCCGATGCGCTCTCCGGCCTTCCTATTGTCACCTGATATTTCATACGGTTATTTTTTTATTTTATTTTTTAAGCGTTTCACCCCCAAGCAAGGCTGGAAGCCACTAGGACGCAAGGGCTTACAGAAAATTTGGAGCAAGATCAGATAGGAGTGATAGAGGAAAAGATGAGGAGAAGGATAGTGGATAGATCAAGGCAACTGGAGATGTCGATTGACATTGCATTCATTAAAAACGAATTAAGTGTTGTATATACAATATGGATTAGGTGCAAAAATACAAAAATTACTCTGAGCTACAGAGGATAGGATGTTGTGGAGAGACATGATCACCCACGTCCTGAAGAGACGCAACACACAGAAGATATCATTTAAAAAAATAATTCTTCGTACTTGCATCCTCATTTTTGTTGTTTCGATCACTATCATTTGGTCGATGTGGTCTCCGGCCTTCTCGGTGTAACGTTATATTTCATAAGCGGAATGCATTCGTTAAAAATTATCTATTAAATCTAGTATCCTCATTGTTGTTGTTTTCTTCATTAGCATTCGATCGACGCGCTCTCCGGCCTTCTGAATATCACATGATAAATCAGAACCGAGTTAAAAAAAAAAAAACACTTATGTTAATCAGATGCGTATAGACGTTTTTTTTGGGTTTTTTTTTTGAAGAGGGAAAATCTTTATTGTTTTTAACAGAAATTATTTATTTATTGAATTAGGGACGAAATTAGAATTTTTTTCGTTATTTTAAATATTAATATTACATATATTTAAAAAAAATATAGGCATTGTTGACGTCAGGTTTTAAGGAATATATATATATATATATATATATATATATATATATATATGCATTAAGGTCAAAAGCGCCTTCAAATTAGTACAAAAAGTCTCCACCATCTTTGATCTGGCCTATTCAGTTTAAAATTAAATTTAGAACAAAACACTTAACTTAAAGGTCAATTGATAATATAAATAATAATTAAAATTTGCTCTCCTTGAAAAAGCGATTTTATAAATTTAGTTGATTTGACCCTGCCTTTTTTTTTCAATTTTACTACTTTTGGGAAATAACAAATTTTATGCAGCCTAACAAAGGCTTGGTTTTGACCAAAGGAGACATCAAATTTGAGATATAAATTAAATGACTTCCGCATTTTCTTAAACAAATTTACATCGATGCTAATAGATAAAGAAGATAACAGAATATTTTTTAATGCCTTGGAATTTTTGAATTTTTTTTATATTTTTTTCAATATTGAGAAGGAGTTGCTTTTCGTTTTTCGAAATTTTGAAAGTTCAAGAAACGGGTTATTGTCTCTCATATTTAAAAGACACCTGGTCACTTGGTAAATATGAAATATTATTTTTTTTTTTTTAATTTTTTGTTGTTGTATGTACGACGTGAACAAAAAAAAAATAGTCGTCTGGTTATGACGATTTTTTTTTTGTTGTTGTTGTTTTGTGGTAATTTTTAACATGAACTTGTTATTTTTTGACAGTACTTTTTTTTTCGGGACTTAGCACGAGAAAGATTTATGACGTTGGAAAACAATAAAAAAAAGGACCAAAAAATGGCGTCAGAATCCACAAAAAAAAATGTTCATCTCTTAATAATTAGTTGTGCTAAGATTAATTTGTAACGTATATAAAGGTAGGTTAAAAAAAAGCAAATTTAGATGAGATAGTAAAGTATTAATTTCGTCCAGTTAACTGATGTTTCTGCCACAATTAAAGACTGTGAGGGGTTTATTACGAACACTATTTTGTTTCGTTTCTTGTCAATATATATATATATATATATACATTGTAAATACACATTAGGGTTTTGATTTTTAAATTGTTTTATCACTCTCCACTCGCAGACAAAAAATTGTACATATGAAGACAAGATAGGACTTCATAGAGATTCTGAGGTATTACAATGTGTGTGTGTGTGTAAGAATGCTAAATAAGAATGTTTTGGTGTAAAGAATATTGTTGTATGTTTGACCCTGTGATTGTAGCTAGCTAAGTTTAATTATAAGACAGCCAGCCTTCCCACGCACCCCCTTTGGTCTTGTTCCATATTTTTGTATTATTCAAAATAAATATTACTTTCCGTTATGGTACCTAGACTTTATGAATTGAAGCGTAGTACTAGATTGGCAGCTAGGTCTCATTATTTTATATTTGAAGTGGCTTGATGTAACCGTAAGTTCTATGCTAGCAGTTTCTTCTCTCGCGTGTGGAACTCTTTTCCGGCTTCTTGCTTCCCAGTCAACTTTGATCTTCAAAAATTTAAATGCAATGTCAATCGCTGTCTACTATCTTAATTTTTATTCTTTTGTCCTCTCTCCTTAATAATAGTTTTTTTCCTATATGTTCTAACTCAGTAACCCCTTGTATCCTAGTGGCTTTGCCTTTGAGCTTCAAAAATTTAAATGCAATGTCAATCGTTATCTTCTGTTTTCTTAATTCTTGTTCTTTTATTGTCTTCTCTCCTTAATAGTAGTTTTTCTCATATTCTCTAACACTCAGTAGCCCCTTGCGTCTTAATGGCTTTATTGCCTTGTTTAGGTTGAAATGATTATTAAAAAATTAAGATGTATTTATTTCCTAGGACAAATTGTCTGTCGATATATCATTATCTGTATTCAAAAACAGTCACTTGCAGAGTTGATAGTGGATTACTGTTCATACCCAATCATGCTTACACGTGCATTCTTTCTGAATCTGTTGTTTATTATTATTCATTGAATATCCGCATGCAGAATTAGCAACTGGTATGCCACACTGGAGCTTTAGTGACAGAAAGTTTCTTGAATACACCAGAACCCTCCTCAGTATCCTAGCTATTTTTGATAATGCCATTGTTCAGTTTGTTTTGTTTTACGGCATATCAACCACAATGTGTTATTTAATGCCGACAAGATTTTTATTACTGGTAATATTTTTTTCAAAAATATATTACTGGTAATAATTTTTCTTAAAAAATTTATTGCTGGTAATAATATTTTACAACGTATTTCTGGTATTAAAACCTATTTTTACACTTTCATAGTGTTTTGACCCCAGTTTGGGGGTCAAATATTTGCCCACAGCTGGGACCCTAAATGTGTGCTACCACCCCGTGTCAGGGTGGATCTGAGAACACCAGCAATTAACAGGTGGTTCCACCCTCCTCAAAACCTCTTGATCAGAAGCCTTGCTGTGGGACGTAGTTTATCGTTTTACCCGGGACGTGGATGTAGTTTATTGTCATACCCAGGACGGGCCATTGCTCAGATGGTTCTATTTTGATTTCCAAAATAAATATTACTTCAGGTCTTGTGCTACGTCAAAGCTATGCTGAGTAAATCGTTATATTGTCGTTGTGTGGTCCGTCTTGCCGTGGTTCGATCCATTTTACACGGAGACTCGGCCCTCTGTCAACAAATATTAATCCGGCCTGGTCTATGAGAATTGATGCTAAACTGGGCTCATTTCTCGAAAATCGTTACTCAATACCTTCCCACCCACTCCCACGAGATATTAGCTTCTAAAGCTGTTATATACTTCTAGAGAGTGACAGAATTAATTTCAACTCGATTTAAAAAACCTAACCCTTAGTTACAGTGGCGTAATGGATAGCGGCTTGGATTGAGGAATCGGAGAGCCGAGTTCGAATTCCAGTCAAATCCATTACATTCACTTACGTGCTAATACCCTTGGGAAAGGTATGAATCTTTTTTCTAAGCTATGGGTAAATATCAAGACAGACCGGGTTCTATAGACTTGGATGGCAACTAGTCTACCGCAGAAAGAAATGGCAATCTAATGCGGGGAAAAATCTGCCTCGTCAGTTATGTATCGAAAATAACCCACATAACTAACTGATACTACACTCAACTGAGAACACGTTCAATTATTTTTATTTGCCGTATATACACGTGTATAAGCTGACTTCAGGGAAACTACGACACCTTGTATTTTTACATGAACTTTAACCCCTCCAAAAAAAAATACTTGTGTATAGTCACCGAAATTGTGTACTGTTAACTTTGTCAATAGTCCTGATGATAAACTACATCCGGCAGCAAGGCCTCTTTATCAGGCGGTTTTGATGAACATGGAAACATCTCTTGATTGTTGTTCTCAGGTCCACCCTAACTCGGGTTGGTAGCACCTGTTAGGGTCTCAACTATGGGCAAATAGTGACCCCCACCGCACACAGAAACCAAAATATTAGGAAAGTATAAAAATAAATTTTTTTGGTAAAAATTTACCAGCAATATTTTTATTTTAATAAAAATTAATTATTTTAATTATTTAATTATTTTAAATATTTTATATTTTTATAGTAAATTTTAAAGACCTGGCATACACAGTCAAAATATTTTAAAATGCTATAATTAATTTCTTTTTTTTTTTTTTTTTTTTTTTTTAAAGATAAACAAGTTTTAGCTCCTTCAGTATCTGTCTATATTTCTGAGATAAAGTATTATGTAGATTATTTACATCATTCGGACTATTGTCCTCATCTTTATCGCCATATTTATTACAACGTTTCGGCCTTTCAGTATCTGTCTATATTTCTGAGATGAGGTATTATGTACACTATTTACATTATTCGGATTATTGTCCTCATCTTTGTCGCCATATTTATTACAACGTTTCGTCCGTTATACGCTCCGGCCTTCTTCAGTTGATTGGAATGTCGAACTGAAACATGGCACGTGGAACTAGAACAGTCTACCCCAGTGAGCGAAATAAAGGGTTCAGTTCGACATTCCAACCACATGAAGAAGGCCGGAGCGTACAACGGCCGAAACGTTGTAATGTAATAGTCAGAATAGTGTAAATAGTGTTTTCGTTCCTTGTTTTATTTTGTAAGATTATTTAATAAAAAAAAAGCAGCTAAGTAATTTATAATTTAATCATGAAATAATGTCATCCTGATGAATTAATGTTTGAAT